CTCTAATAAATTTGTTAGTCTCTAAGGTGCCACAAGTACTCCTGTACTCCTTTCACAGCAGATCATGCATGTGGAGCAGTGCCGCCCAATGTATTTTAACACCATCTATTGTTCTGATTGTGCTCTTAAAGTCCTGATTGACATACCCAGCTATTCCCCACTGGAAACCAGGAAGTAGACAATTCCCCCCCCCCCTTCCTGTTTCTGAATGCATCTCCAGTCCAGTGCTTTGCAAGTCACTGGAGCTTGGGCTTGTAGCTACAGGTAGGTGTTCTCTCCTTACCCAAAGTCTCCTGCCTCAACAGGTAGAGAGGACAGGAGGTGCTGTTCAGCATTCCCTTCTTTTGTAGCTATACAATCAAGTATTTTGCTGGAGGAAAAAAAAGTTAATGGCAGGACCCTGTTCCTAGGAATTTATTTTATGGCATGCTTACGCCTGGGATTCGTTTTTGCACTACTAGTAATGAGCAATAAGACAAGAACTATTTGCTTATCCACAAACCAGGCATTACATAAGTGCCGATCCTGCCTTCTGTGCTTTGCTTTGTCAGTAAACCTAAACCTTCGTCTTTTTATTTTTTTCCTTCCTGGTGTGGAAAAGATTATTGGCCTTTGAGGCAATCAAAATAACATGAGACCTTTAAACTCTAAAGCCAGAGAGAGCAGGAAAGGAAACGGCATGCGTATTTGAGGGAGGGGTTTGGTCCAGGTGGAGGGGAGTAGAGACGATAAAATGGTTGCAGTTTTGAAGATGATTGATTGGGCCTCGCAACCCGAGGGCAGTGGGGAAACTGGGTATCAAAGTATATTCAAAGCTAGCCTTAATATGTCTGTTTGCAAGACAGAATAGTAAATGTGTGTGAGATCACGTGGGGGTGAGAAGGGAGGGTTGTGTGAATTGAAAAGATAATTTGATTAATTTTGTAGACAAAACAATAAAGGATGGAACTGCAAAGAAGTGATTCGGGAGTGAAGGGGATGAGTCCTGAGGTGCCCAGTTCTGCAGGTTGCTCGAGGTTGATGCTCTGGGAGGAGCTCTGGTTGCACAATGGGAGTCCTGCTTGAGTAAGGAATGCAGGATTTGGCCTCAAATGCCTGGTGTCCACTCGTGCCCTATCTTCCAACCAGTTAGAACAAAAACATGGCCTATGTCGGAGGCCGTATCCTCACCCTGTCTTCAAGTCCAGATGGAAATTTATAGACTGACGCCCCCTCTCCCCCACCATGTGCCAGAGTCCCTCCATGGGTCCCTGCCAGGTGAGGTCAAAGATTCCTTCCTAGGTGGTGTGCTGGGGAGTGGGTTAGCACTGGAACCGGTTTTATTTTTTTAATGGCGATTCTTCAGGCTGATGCCAAGATTATTTGGTGACGGGGCCGCGTGTTACCCGTTGAAATTTTGTTGGTTGTTTTCAGGTTTACAGAGCCATCAAGACCCAACACTTCAACTCTGCCCCTAAAAACAGAAGCCCTCACATCGTAACCAATTCAATTCTAGGCTTTCTCCCTCGCCCCCCACCCCACTTTGCAAAAATGGTGAAGTCTGAGGTTTCTTAAGGGAGTTAAGTGCCCAGAGACAATAAGAGTTGGACATTTCAGGAAGTAAAGCTGTCTTTGAAAATCCTATCCGAACTGTGGTTTTGTAGTGATGCATTCTGGTCACTTTAAATGTTTCCCTCTTAAAAATAAGTAATCTTAAAATCACCACAATCTGTTTGTTTCTTTATGGCAATACCAGAGCAACGTAGGGGGAGGAGAAAGCCCATTGGACTGTGCTAGGCATGCAGATAAATTTGCTCTTGGCCTTGAGAGTTTGATCCAGCAGTGAAAAAAAGACCTTCCATTAAACCGTGTGTATGGGGGGAGACTGTCATTGATGTCTGACTGTTTGAATAGTGTACTATTGTAGTGTACCAGCAAACATACCCCCCCAGGTTTGGTACACACACAGGTCTTGACTGTATTACTGCATATATACATGTATCAAGACACATTCCTGTGAGATTAAATGTGGTCCCTGATGACACAGGAGATAATTGGCAAGGAGGTCTGGGTGGAATAACCAGTTAAGACAAACCTTGCAACACAGAAGTTTGCCCTAGTTTTTAACGTCAGTGGTTAAAACAGCCGTGTGTTGACATAGCGTAGAATCATCCCCGTGTGTCTCCTGTGCTGCCCTTCGGTAGGTTAGCTGGCTGGGCTGGGTTGTATTTAGCCGTGCTTAGGGCTTGCTCCTTCTGCTATCCCTTGACTGAAGGGTTTTCTTGTGTTAATGTATGATGTGCCATACTGGGTCAGACCACTGTTATCTAATCACTGTCCTGCTTCCGATGTTAACCAATACCTGACGTCTCAACAGAAAGTGAGCTGCCCCAATGCTTCACTGTAACACATGTGGGTACTTCCTGACCCCCCGCAGTAATCAGTATGTGCCATAAAGCAGGAGGATTTGATTACCCCATGTTAGTTTGCATGGCCACAGATGCTGACTCTTATAGCCAGTCCTTTAATAATCAGCTATAGTATTTTTCTCGTTCCTATGGCAAAACATTCTAACCATGTAGGCCTTGTGCTGAGATACATGGAGCACCTGCAACTCCTCTAGAAGAGTTCAGAACATCTCGGGGTGAGGCCCCACATCGAGCGATATTGCTTCTTAGTCTGAATTTGCTTGTTGTCATTGTCAGGGGTCCCCTTGCCATGGCCTTGTGGCACAGCCAGAAAAAGGAGTGGATCAGCTTTCACTTTACCATCCACAATCTTAATTCTCACACTCCTCCCTTCTGTTGTTGTTCATTATTATTTGTATTATGGTAATACCTAGAGGCCGGAGGGGCTGGGCATTGTGCAAACACACAGAAAGAGATAGTCCCTGGTCCCCCTCCCCCAAAGAACTCAATTTAAATAGAGGAGGCAGACAAAGGGAGGACAACAAAGGCACAAAGAAGTGAGGTGACTTGCCCAAGGTCACACAAGAGTCAGTGGCAGAGCTGGGAATAGATCCCAAGTCTCCTAACTCCCAGTCCAGGGCCTTTACCAGTTAGATCACGCTGCCTCTGATTTTTCTAGTCTCTAAACTAAATCCTAGTGGTTTTTGTCCCTCTCATCAGATGATGAATCCAGTCTGTTTAGCTTAACAAAGAGAATGTTAAGGGGTGGCTTGATCATAGTCTGTAAATACCAACATGGGGAACAAATATTTAATAATGAGCTATTACATTCCATCTAGCAGAGAAAGGTCTAACACGGGGGTTCTCAAACTGGGGGTCAGTACCCCTCAGGGGGTCATGAGGTTATTACAGGGGGGTCGCGAGCTGTCAGCCTCCACCCCAGACCCCGTGTTTCCTCCAGCATTTATAACGGTGTTAAATATATAAATGTGTTTTTAATTTATAAGGGGGGGATTGCATTCGGAGGCTTGCTATGTGAAAGGGGTCACCAGTACAAAAGTCTGAGAACCACTGGTCTAACATGACCCTGTGGCTGGAAGCTGAAGCTAGACAAATTCAGACTAGAAATAAGGCGGACATATTTAATGGTGAGAGTAATTAACCATTGGAACAATTTACCAAGGGTCATGGTGAATTCTCCATCACTGACAATTTTTCAGTCAAGATTGGATGCCTTTTTAAAAGTATGCTCTAGGCATTATTCTGGAGGAGTTCCCTGGCCTGTTTTATTCAGGAGGTCAGACTGAATGATCACAATGATCTCTTCTGGCCTTGAAGCCTCTGACTATCTCGCTCATCTTCTACATCCATATGACTAGGGCCCTACAGTCCATTTTGGTCAATTTCACAGTCATGGGATTTTCAAAATAGTAAATTTCATGATTTCAGCGATTTAAATCTGAAATTTCACGGTGTTGTAACTGTAGGGGTTCAGACCCAACTCTGAAGGCAGTAGCGCAGAAGTAAAGGTGGCCTGGGATGGTATTGCCACCTTTACTTCTGCGCTGCTGCTGGCCGGGTGCTGCGTTCGGAGCTGGGTGCCTGGCCAGCAGCTGCCGCTCTCCGGCCTCAGCTCTGAAGGCAGCACAAAAGTAAGGGTGGCAATACTGTGCCCCAAATACAATAACCTTGCAGACCCCCCTCCTCCCTCCCATGACCCTCTTTTGGTTCGGGACCCCCCATCTGAGAAGCGCTGGTCTCCCCTGTGAAATCTGTATAGTATAAGGTAAAAGTGCACAAAAGACCAGATTTCCTTGTCTGTGATGTGTTTTTCATGGCCGTGAATTTGGTAGGGCCCTACATATGACTGAAGGAATTATCCCCTTTTATAGAGGCTTTCTCTGTTGAGTTGTCATGTGATGTGTATTTACATTTTCCCGGTGCCAAAAACTGAAGGACGAGTAATGAATCTCTTTGCTGGTGGGCTGCAGTGTCCCTAATAATCTCCTCGCTTACAATGAGGAATCCGAGCCCTATAACATCTTATTACGTTCAAACAGAACCATTGATACCAGGGAGTCAGTTCAATTTGGGTAGCAATTATCTCCCTGTTTCATCCCAGCTCTATGCAGGGGGAGGTACGGATCCGGGTCGCTGTTTAGTCAGGGAGAGGAAGATAGACATTTTTCTTGTGGAAGTCTCAGTGATTTGGGGGAGAGCGTGGCTGGAGGGGGTTGGCCCTAATCTTAATAGAGCTTTTGACGTGAGTATCTCAAAGAGCTTTGCACGCAATTGTGTGTCAGAGGTAGCTGAGTGGTGGGGTGCCTGTCTGATAGATGAGGTACAGAGAGAAGAAGTGACTTAGGGTATGTCTACACTGCCATTCAACCCCTGCGGCTGGCCTCTGTCAGCTGACTTGGGCTTGCGCTGCGGGGGGGTGTAAAAGTGGTGGAGATATTTGGGCTTGGACGGGAGCCCAAGCCCTGAGCCCAAACGTTTACACCACAATTTTACAGCCCTGCGAGCTGGTGTGGGCCAGTGTTATAGACACCCTCCGTGACAGAGCTGGGAGTAGGAGGCCCTGATTCCCAATTCTCTGCTTTAACCACTCAGTTGCACTGCCTCTCCAGCACAAACGGCTGGTCAGCATGTCCCAGAGTAGGGCGGTAAATGATATCCATTTAGCTGGAACTTTGCTAAGTCATCCTTCAGCTGTTTTCATCTTTGACACAACAATAAAAGGGGGGAAAAAAATGTGAATGCTAAACTTGTAAACCGGCTGGCTTGTAAAATTCAAATCAGTGTCTGGGGATGCCTTCTCTCAGCTCTCCGGAACTTACCCGGCTGATGAGGCATTGCCGAATTACCTCCTAATGCCATGTGTTTCCAGGAGCTCCAAGAAACTGGGTGATGCTCGGTATTTGCCTAATGCTAGAGGTGCTTTTGATGATGGTTTTTACCTAGTGCTGGGAATTGGCCGAGAGCTGTCTGCCTCCTGAGTTGAAGTTCTAAATCGAAAGAATTCAGATGCCAAAACAACAGACTGGAGTTTTTTGCGTGTGCCGATTTTAGATGCAAATGTCCCTGACCAATTCAGATGCTCTGCCAAATATATCAGCCCTAGACTGGCTTCTCTGAAGGCACACACAGGATGCAGCCGTTTCTGATCTAGGAAATGGTTGACGATTTAAGGAGGTTTTTCCTTGTTGCATTGGCTCTGTAGATCTGCCCCTTTTTTGGTCAATGCTCGGAGAGGAGAGCTCCGAGGAAAACCTACCATTTCGCTTGGCATCACTGGAACTTCTGCACGGTACTGCGTTGTTGGAGGTGGTGTATTTCTTTTTCATAGGAAGTAAAACCAAGGTTCTTTATCACTTGCGGTCAAGCGTCCCACGACACTTGTTGGAAAAGCAGTGGGCATTAATTCAACTTCTGTCCAAACTTCAGATTGAGTAATTACTATATAATCTTCCTGTCTAACACCACCAGGGGAATTTAATGGGATGTGAGAATCGTCTTTTCATTTTGTAAACTATTGTGTGCTGTGTACGTCCCACCCCAGAGGTGGCTGCATTTCAGTGGTGGGTATAGTTCCTGCATGCTGAGTATATGGTTTGTAAAGTACTTTGGGGTAAGAAGTGACTTATAAATACAAATGGGGAGCAAGCAAAACTCTTTGTAGTTACAGGCTGGAGAATTGGTGGTAGAAAAATCCAAAATGTTTTTATTTCTTTATTTTACCCTTGGGCGGGTACCTGGTATAAAAAGCAGAGTCATCAAATGGGGATCTGGCATCCCTATACGCCTTGCTGTTGCTTCTACCCTGACGTGCTTTTCTGCGCAGCAGTAAGAAGCAGATCTCACCCAGGTCTGACCTGGGTCTGGCAGGTGAATGGGAGCAGGTGATGTGATGGACCCTAGGAGAAGTTCAGGTCACCTAATGATGTGATTGCAATTGGGCTGTTTTTTGCCATAATCTAGATATGCTGGTGCCTTCTCCAGCATCTCGTCCATTTCAGCCTTAATCCATAGTTAACAAATCTGGGGTTTGTGGCCCTAGAGCCGCGGTCCCGTAGATCCAAACATGGCCGGGGTTTGTAAGGAGAAGAAACCACAAAATGTACCTTTTGGGTTCAGTAATAGCCCGTGTAGCATTTTGCCTTTAGATTCGCAAGTCGGTCTCGGGGGGGTGGCTGAAAGTCATTCTCATCTGACATCTGTTCAGATGACATGGGGGTGAGTTTGGATCCCTAGTAGGGAAGCGTTCACGTCACAAAAGCCACCACCACCCTAGGCACTAATTGCCCCCTACTAATGGCCTCAGCAGAGTGCCAAAGCCCAGCTTTCCTAGGGCTGGTTCCTCCAGAACGGGGGGCATTCTGGGGTACCCACGATAAAAAGGGGGGGTAATGTAATCAGGTGACTGTGGCATGAGGAGTCAAGAAACATGGATTCTGTTCCTGGCTCACTGACCTTGGCCAAGTCACTTACCCTCTCTCTGTGTCTGTTACCCCAGCTGTGAAACCAAACTGAGGCATACCCCCCCATTGAGATCCATGGATGGAACAGTTCTCTCATTGCTAAGGAGGTACCATTTATCTGTTAAACAGAGCGCGTTTCATCCTCCTACACTGTCAATCCAGTGCTTGTCACCAGCTCTGAATTGCCTTTTAATATTCGAAACCATGTCATTGGTTTCTATTGACATCCAGGATCTTCCTCTCAAGAGCATGCTTTTGTTTTGCAGGTCCACATAATTCAGATGCTTTGATGGCACTACGTTGCCAACAGCACATTCCTTTTGGGAAGCGGTTGAATTTTAATAGCGACATGGCAGAGGTGAAACGGGTTGCTACTAAGTAGGCAAACACCCTACTTTAGGAATGCTTCATTTCCTCCTGACTGCCATCTTCCCACTGTTGGCTCTGGGCTGCGCTTCTCGAGGCCTCTGTAGAGTTTAGGGAGGATCCGAGGCAGAAAGAGACCTGCTCAGGCTTGCCCTGTAATGCTGCAGAAATTGGTGTCAGCAGAGATGGCTCATGCTCCGAATGGCCCAAGAGCTGCGTTTCTCTCAAGAGATCGAGGGCTGCAGACATCGAGTGGGAAGGGGGAACTAGGACGACTGTTCCCTTAATATAAATGGAACAGACACGGACTTGCGTTGGGTGAGCTCTTCGTAGTGGGGGGCGTGCCCAGTTCTCCAGCTGGTGGTGAGGGAGGGAGGCAGTAATGTTTGGGCTTTGGGCAGCAAACGGCTGAATTTTATTTTTAATAGCAATGTCATTCTAATAATCCTCGGCAGCACTCCTGGTGCTGATAGCATGGCTGGACCTTGAGCAATAGGACATAAGTGGTGGCCTTGTGTGCCGCCTTGAGCACGTTGTGACATCTGGGGGCAACCGGCAAGCACCTTCAGCTCTCCCAGGTGGTTATTCCCATGAAGCCTTGCTCCTTAAAACCAAGTGACAATGGTGCCCTGAAGCCGTCCGTCCCGCTCATCAATGAGTGAGATGATTTAGCCCTAAACTGTTGTGTAACGTTGTTATTAAACAGCGGATGTGTTGGTGGCAGAGCTGGTGGTATTTTGGCAGTGGTGAAGGAGCTCTGTACTTTATAAATCAAGTGCTTTGGGATCTTCCGGATGAAGGATGCTTTGCAAGCATGCAGTACTTTTACTGGCTAACCAACCACCTGTGACTTATCTGCCTATACCATATGGTTCAGAGCCCTCGTTAGCCAGTTAGATTCCTCCTTTCATCCAGCTAAACTTTAAGTGCAGGGCAATAAGAGAAAAAATTAAACGAACTCTTTTCCCAGGCAAACCTGGTCATTAAACAGAACGAGGTCAACAGGTTTAACTTGGACCCTGGCATGACATGGGCATGTCACTTGAATTCACAGAATTCCCATAAACTGCTGCCTCCAATGGCAACCATTTTGGAATCTGTCTTAAATAAACCAATTAAAATTTGTGAGTCGTCCAGTCATGTTTCTGCCTTTTTTAGAGAGTCATTTGTCTGCAAGCCCTGAAAGAAGTTAAAATGGCCTTTCTGCGTGACAATAACTTCCCTGCGGTCACAAGTAACGGCTCAGATTTCTGAGCTGGGAAGAGAGGTATTTCTCTTCCACTTTGTACGTTCCATATCACTTTGTGTATTGTCACTTGCCCTGGTTCCCCAGCAGCAGCCCGGCCTGTCTACATGAAGAACAGTTCGGCTGGTACGGCTTTCCTGGCAAAAACCTTTCGTGTGGAGGCAGTTAGGTTGGTATAAAAATGTTTATACCAGTATAGCTAATGCTGGTTTGGGTTCAACAGCATAAACTGTACTGACATAAACACAGGGATACCAATATAACTGTGTCTACATTAAGGCTTTTACCAGCATAGCTATGTTGATTTAAAAAAAAAAAACAACCCAACCACCCCCCCAACTGCTATGTCAGTAAAAAAATTTAGTGTTGACCAGGCTTCAGTTAGTTTCCCGTGTCTGGCTCTTTTGAGGGAAGGGGTACTGCGTGACACTTTTTCCAATTGACTATATTTGAAGTTGACGCTGTACCTCGATACAGGTGCTACAAATTATGCTCCTGGATATAATTTTGGAACTTCTGAAATGCAGCCACCTCTGGGGTGAAATGTAGCATCTTTATAACAGCACATAGCAATGCAATCTGGGACAGTGAGTGTAGAATGTTGTATTCAACTGGAGAAAAAACTGCATGGGAGATTGAGGTCAGTTGCTGCCCTGTGGCTCATTCAGTCCTTAACGTGGCAGTTGTGCCTAGCTGGAAAGCCCTCAGCACACCTGTCCAGTCCACCGCACTCAGACCCATCAACTCATTTCATACGAGTCACTGAAAACCCCATTGCTCCATGATGCCTTACAGTGGCTACTGACCTGGGATGCTTTGCAACCTGTAAAGGTGCAAGTCTCCCTACCCCATTACTAATCCTCTGCCTGCTTTAATAACCTTGCCATTCAGAGTCCCTGAGTAAGGGAACCGCGTGTGTGATTTCTGCCAGCTGTTCAGAAGAACGTAGCAAGCGGTATGCAAGGTAAAAAGCCTTTGTGCTGTTGGCCGAAGTTTTATAACCAATGCTGCTGTGAGAGAGAAGCTGTTCGCTCAAGGATAACGGAGGATGCTCGCTGGCTGGGTGGGGGAGATGTGCTAGGAAATGTATATGTTTTTTAAACTCCTTCACGTTCTCAGCGGCTGCAAATTTGAACCACAGCTCAACACAAAAGGCATTTTGTCCAACTCGAATAAGTTGTGAAGTGTATCACTTTCCATGCCAAGGCTGGGAAGTCTCATGACCCAGCCACCATTCCCGCACTATGCTGTTGATTGTCCCGGCTCCCAAGTTGTGTGGGATTAACCCTTGCTTGGACGGTTGCCTCGTGCCCCAGCTATGGCTGGGCATGACAAACCCCAGCTGTGTGGGTGCTGCAGGCTGGCTGGCCAAAAGATTATCGCCCAAAGCTTCTAAATGCTTTACCCAGCTCAAATTCTCTCTAAAAGGGAAGGGAGACAGGACCTCCCTCCAGCATCTAATCTGGGGAAATCTCTAAATTTCATTTTTAGGACCAGGCCAAAACACACTCGCTCAGCGGGATAGCAGTCTGTCTTGCACGTTTGGCACTTCCTCTTTTCAAACACAGAATTTTGCCCGTAGTCACCCACTTGTGGGCCCCCGTCAGTCAGCGGGGTTGCATGATTGTAAATTAGGCCAATTCCATGTATTTAGGTACTCTGTAGCATTTGAACACCTTACCGTTGCTAATAAACATATCCTTGCACAGCAGCCTGAGAGGAAGGGAAGGAATTATTTACCCCGGTTTTACAGATGTGGGGGGAATATGAGGCACAGAGCAATGAAGTGATTTGCCCAAGGTCACCCAGGGAGTCTGTGGCAGAGCCAGGAATTGAACCTACATCTCCTGTGTCCCCATTCAGGGCTTTAACCACAAAACCATCTTTCCTCCTCCCTTATCACTGCACTTCGTCTCAAAAACCCATGAGCCCAGAATCTAGGTCAAATTTTGTGCTTAGTTTTAACCCCTGCAACCATATTTCATCCCTTGCAGCTGGTGTCGGTTCCTTCCAGGCCAGGAATATTTCAAACTCTGTAAAGCGTCTGCATTTTACATGCCGTGAGACACCACAGCCCAGCTGATCCGTGTTAGTGGCTACCTTCTAATGGATGTGATTAAGGGCCTGCTCCAGCAGCTCCCATCAGAGTGAATGGAGGGACTCCCAATTACTTCCTTGGATGGGTGCACTTGCACCATGCAACTCTGGGATTTTAAAGCCGGTTCCTGCCTTGCTGCTGTTCAAATCGATATGTTTCGTTAGGATTGAGCCCTTAGTGAACGTCGTCCGCGGCGAGCGCTCTCAAGCGCCAAAAACTTCCATCCAGGACCAATTTTATTTTGTCCCCCACTGACCCATGTGGGTGTAACTCAGGACCTCAGGGCGAGGTTTGAGCTGTTCTTTGAGCTATTGGAGTGAGAAAAAAGGTAGCAGGATTTTTTTTAAACGGGGAAAGTGTAGCAAAATCCCCTCCTCTTGGGCTGAGATCACTCATGGAAAGTTTCAGCTTGAAAGCGCTGCTGGGAAAGTTATGAGAAGTAGGCGTGTGCATGTCTGTCATGAAGACTGTTTTGAAACCTTACGTATTGTGCCCGGGTTGCTGCCTACCACCACTATAACATAGCGCTATCAATTGCTTCCCTGTGTAGTTAGTTCTGTGCCTGGACTCTGCCACTGATTCATTATTTCATGTTGCACAGGTCACATCCCTTCTCTGTGCCTTAGTTCCCCCTGCTCGGGTGCCCCACGGCCAGCTGCGTCGGCTGCTGCTGGAACAATCTGGGGCCAGCGGCTCTGGCAGTCCCTGGGGCAACTGGCTCTGGGGACTGCCCAAGCAGCGGCCGGCGAGCCACCTGACCAGCAGTCCTAGGGGTGCCCTGGGGATCGCCCGAGCAGCAGCAGTCCCCGGATGGCTGGAGCAGCGGCCCTGGGGTTGCCTGGAGGCCATCCCGAGAGCGGTCCCTGGGAGCAGCCGCTGGAGGGCAGTCAACCCCAGGATTGGAGCAGGACCCCCCGGAGTAGAGTGACCAGACAGCAAGTGTGAAAAATCGGGACAGGGGTGGGGGGTAATAGGAGCCTATATAAGGAAAAGACCCCAAAATCGGTTCTGTCCCTATAAAATCAGGACATCTGGTCACCCCACCCTGGAGCAGCAGGGCCCCAGAAGTAGAGATTTAGTTGGGTATTTTTGGTAAAAGTCATGGACCGGTGAATTTTCATTTATTGCCTGTTCATGACTTTTACCAAATAGACCCGTGACTAAAGCTTAGCCTTAATTATGATTGTTTGTATTATTATAGCACCTAGAGACCCCAACTGAGGTAGGAGCGCTATTGTAGCAGGCGCTGTACGTGCTTAGCGAGAGCCGACGCCTGCCTCAAAGAGCTTTCAGTCTTAACAGGCAAGAACGACAAAGGGCGGGAGAGAGGAATTATTCTTGTCCCTGTTTTACAGCTGGCAAACTGAGGCCCAGGGAGATGAAGTGACTTGCTCCAGGTTGCCCAGGGACTCTGTGGTGGAGGTTGGAATCGAATGTGGATCTCCTGATTCCCAGCCTAGTGCCTTAACCACAAACGCTGCCGGACTCCTGGCTGGCAGATCACTTGAGAAAGTAGAAAGGGTTTGAATAGTCACAATAGGAAGTTAAGCAGAGCTGCTTTGTCTAACTAGCCTCTAATAATGCTAGAAAGAGGCATTTTGCTTGGAGAATAACGTGTGAGAGGCAGGCGGATCAGGCCTTTTATAGAGCGGAGCATGCTGCTGGCGCTTCCTGGGCATGCAGCTGGTGAACTGGCAGAGCGGGGCTCGGGGAAAGGGGATGGGGTGGCGTGGCACAGGTACAGTCTGAGGCTTTATAGGGTCCGGTGTGAGCTAAGATGGGTGGGGATCCCAGCCAGCTCCGAGCCCCTCCACTCAGGCTGCCAAGCCGGTGGAAAGGCTGCTGGGGGGTCCAGCTGGCATGTCAGGAGCACAGGGGGGGTGTGTGTGTGTGTGTTGGAGGGGTTGGGAGAATGGAAAGTGCTCCACTGAGGCACCCTGCTTCTGTTCAGTGCATGTGGGCAGAGAAGGAACAGAGAGGCGGGGCCCACGGGCACTACGAGTGGCACTCCCTTGGCAGCGCAGCTAAAGGAATGGGGGTCGCTGCTCAGCTGCACGGTGGCCCTCTGGGATAGGACGGGTGGCCCCGTGGGTCGCGCACCGGGCTGGGGACGTGCCAGGCTTGGGGTCATTTCCTGGTTCTGCCAAAGGCTTCCTGCGTGACCTCGGGCAAGTCCGTTAATCCATGCTGTGCCTCACACCCCCACCCATCAGCCAGGCTGATGCCTGCCTCCCAGAGCGGGGCAGGGTAAATCCAGCCATCACGGTGCCCGCATGAGTCCCCAGCTGGAGCAGAGAGAGAGACTCCATGCGAGGGACGATTCATAGGGGCAAGAGGGATTCAACTTCCCCGACCCATTGGGTCCGTGGCCTCTCTGCTCACCTTGCCAGCTGCTCTTGCGACTACTACAGGAGCTGGGCAAGGTCACCGCACTCATTTCAGCCGGGTTACAGAGGGCCGGTGCCCTTGGTTCTGCTGCATAAACTTCAGCTGCTTCCACAGCTCCTGGGGGATGCCGTGTGGTGATGGCCGGCGGCACAGGGTGGGGAGCCGGGGAGGCCCAGAGAACAACGGGGTCTGTCTGTGTCCAGCAGCCTCGATCATAGAATATCAGGGTTGGAAGGGACCTCAGGAAGTCATCTAGTCCAACCCCCAATAATGAATCCCCTTCATATCCATCGAGTCCTGTCTCTCGTCTCCCCCAGGGAACCCTCCTAATTCCACAAGCATTTAAATCCCCACTGTGCTCAGGTCTCTGACCTGGGCTCGTCATCCTGCAGTGGGAGCTTTGGCAGCAGGTTGGGAAGGTTTTGTTATTTCCCCGTCCCTACAGGCCAGTGCCGCGGCTGCCTGTGCCCTTCCCACGGGGTGGGACGTGTTGGTGCGTGTGCCCGAGGCTTGCACAAGCTGTCTCGCTCCTTCCCCAGCAAGTCCTTTGTGAATTGTTCCATGAGTTTCTCTCTCTTTTTCCAATCGCTTCCCAGACCTAGAGCGACGTAGCAGGGGATCTCTCCGAAGGAGACGGCAGGGTGGGAAGAGCAGGAGACCAACCAAGTCTGTGACCGTAGAAATGTTCAGTGCAAAGAGGACCTGGGGGCCGGGGTGGGTGCATTGGGTCTCTAGAATGAAGGCTGCATTCGTGTCTGGCACATAGATTGCCCCATGTAAAGGCCAACAGACAATAAATAGGACCCGTGGTGGGAGATGCTTTCGACAGTCCAAACGCCTGTTAGCAATGAGAGGCTCTAGAACTGATCCTGCTTTTTTGCTTTTTTTTTTCTCGTCTCTTCCCAGCCCTTGGTGTTGAAAATGGCTGGTGGCGTGGACGGCCCCATCGGGATCCCGTTCCCCGATCACAGCAGCGACATCCTGAGTAGCCTGAATGAACAGAGGAACAACGGGCTGCTGTGTGACGTGGTCATCTTGGTGGACGGTCAGGAGTTCCCCACCCACCGCTCAGTCCTGGCGGCCTGCAGCCAATACTTCAAGAAGCTCTTCACCTCAGGGTTAGTGGTGGACCAGCAAAACGTATACGAGATAGACTTTGTGAGCGTGGACGCCCTGTCGGCCCTGCTCGATTTCGCGTACACCGCGACCCTGACCGTCAGCACTTCGAACGTCAACGAGATCCTCAACGCCGCCAAACTGCTGGAGATCCAGGCGGTAACGGAGGTTTGCACGGATCTCCTCGACAGGAAGATTCTGGCCAAAAATGACCAGATGGATTTAGTAGATCAAATTGATCAAAGGAACCATCTCAGAGCAAAAGAGTACCTGGAGTTCTTCCAGAGCAACCCCATCAACGGCCACCAAGGCAACTTTCCATGGACCAACGAAGACTTGAGAGACCTTCAGAGACTGAACTTCCAAGGGCAAGAGGACGAGGAGGAGCCGGATTGCAACGGCATGGACTTCTACTCACAAGCCCCCCCAAACGAAAGACCAAAGGTGAACGACGGTGACCCTGACAGCAACCATGCCATGTGGCTGAAAAGAGAGGAAGAGGAGGCCCCGGGAGCCTTATTCCCACCTTCCCAGAATGGACATTACAGTGGACACGGCCTGACGGCACAAGGAGAAGAGGAGGCAGCTCTGGACCAGCAGGAAGCCAGCAACTCTCCCAGCTTCGTTCCTGGGGGAGCGGAGGCGGAGGAGGCTGAGGCTCGAGAGGTGGACGGTCTGGCCGCCAGTGCCCTGCTGCAGCAGATGATCAGTTCCGTGGGACGGCAGCAGCTGGGTGAGGACGACCAGAAGGACGACGACGGGGTGATGGATTATTACTTGAAATACTTCAGCAGCTCTCACGAGAGCGACGTGTATCCGTCCTGGTCCCAGAAGGCGGAGAAGAAGATCAGGGCGAAAGCATTCCAGAAGTGCCCCATCTGTGACAAGGTGATCCAGGGGGCTGGCAAGTTGCCCCGCCACATCCGCACCCACACGGGCGAGAAACCCTACGAGTGCAACATCTGCAAAGTCCGATTCACCAGGTGAGGGGCAGCAAGGGTGGCGGAGGGGTATTGCCCAAGCCGGCTCGCAGCTTACGGGCATGGGTGGGCGTGGGACGGATCAGCCTTGCACAATCTCCTCCCACCCCCCGCCTGCAGTGAGTCATTTCCTTTTTGATGGGCAAGTGACGAGTGATTTTTTTTTGGGTGCCCGGTTTGAGAAACCCTGACTTAGAAAGTGCTGAGTTAGCCAGCCTTCTGGAAATTGGGGGGCCCTTCCACGGTGTCAGGTGCCCCGAATCTCTATAGTCGCTGATAAATCTTGGCCACGCCTGGGATTTGCAAAGGGGGCCAATGGGGGGTGGGCATCTGGGGGAGCTTCCCATATCATTTCCATCCTTGGGGAAGTAGGCTTCTGTGGCCAGCGGGGGCTGTTTAATGTAACTAACCCTTGAGAAATGACCCCATCTAAAGACTGAGACATCCAGAGCCTGGTAACTGGAGGCAGAGTTCGGCCTGTCCTCTGCAAACGGCCCTGAGGAGAGCTCCTGCTGCACCTGCCTGGTGGTGCTGGATCCGAGGAAGGGATCGGGACTGTCTCTCTCTCCCTCCTTCCCTCCCCCCATTAAAAAAAAAAATCAACTTTTTGTGGCCCCCTAGAGGCATGGGTTGTTTCAGCCCCATTCCTAACCCGGGTCTGTCTGCGCCTCCGTCTGCCACGGGTGTGCCGAAGAAAGGGGATATTGTTCGAGTCCCTCTGGTTCACTTTAGTCCATGTGCTCCAAGGAGCCTCCTCTTTTCAGTCTGATTGCGGCGTGAGGCCGGGGGGTTCCGCCCAGATCTCTCCGCACTCTGCCAAGCGCTTGTGTGGGCTGGCTGACAAAGAAGCCAAACAGCCTCGCCCGCCCAGCCTGCTTTCTGCTTACGCAAATAGCCCCGGACTCGGGAGCACCAACGGGGTTCGAGTCCCGTGCGGAGCCTTGGGGGGGGAGGAGCGAGCCAAGAAAACGCTGAGCTCATGGGCCTGATTCTGATCTGCCCCCTGCTGGTGTAAATCAGAAGTGCCTGGGTAAGGCGGAGCAGCAGCATGGGTGAGAGCGGTAAGCGGGCGAGGGGAGAGGACGCATCACACCCAGCTCTCCTGGATTTCCATTGAGCGGGAGCGGGAGGAGGAGGTGCTGAGCCCCTGGCAGGATCGGGCCTGAGTCCCACTGAAAGCGAAGGGAGCTGCACCTGCTGGAGCGGGAGCAGATGTGGCGCAGCGACCTGCCTGGCCATGCAGCGGGGAGAGGGCCCGCGCTTGTTAGCTGTGGCATGCTGATAATGCAGTGGCTTGCTGGGCTAGGGGACCAGCTGCA